AGGTTCTCTAAGCATTCATTTTATCCTTGCAGTCTTGATTTGCACACTCTAAAAGCAATGAACTGAGCTGCTCTAGCACGTATTCCCTGCCATGACAGACCTGAAATCCTGACAGTGTGAGTCAAAACAAGTGATTACTCTACTTGTTTAGCTAGCTAATACAAATGAGATATGTGTTAATCAAATTGGCCGCTATTCCCCTTACTTAGCTAATATTCTGGGCTTTGGATCTGAAATGGCCCCCAAAAGCCATATGCTAAAGACTTGGTTGCCACATGAGAGTGTGGTATGAAGGTGGCGGAAGCTTTAGGATGTGGACACCTAGTAGAGGGAAGAAGGTGGCTGAATGTGCACCTGACAGTAAGTCTTATTTTCTCATTCCCTTTTCTTCCCTTCTGCTCTCTTTCTTTGCTCCCTGGCAGCCGCACTGAAAGAAGCCTTCATCTACCGTGGCCTCCCCACCACGATGTTTTACCTGGACACAAGTCCGCAACAATGAGACCAAATGATTGTGAACTGAACACATGGAAACTGTGAAGCAACATATCTTTCCCCTTTTTAAGTTATTTTCCCAGATATTTTATTAAGTGACAAAAGAATGACTAATACAACTTTCTAATTACATGGCCACACTATATCTAAATAAGCTAGAACTCTACAATTTTGTTTTTCATACGATGGAAAAGTAAACCACTTTAAACTAAACAGCACTAGCCTATAAAACAGCTCAAACATCTCCTTCGGTCCCAGTCACATCTTTAAAGTAACAGAACAAAAACACTCAGAAGCAAATCAGAGTTCACAGAAAATTTATTTCTTTAATTGCTATCTTAGGAATTGACTTTTTATCTTATTGCTTAACAAGAACTACAGGACCACTTTTCTTATTACTTTGGCCTAGAGTTGTTTTCTTTACAATGTCTGGATATCATAATCATCTGGAAAATGATGCTGCGGTCCTTTCCAAAGCAGTTAACTATCAACATATCTAAGAGTACAGCACTGGCATGGGCAACTTTAAAAAAAAAATCCCAGTGTTAATCTGAAATACAACCAGAATTGAGAACAAAGAAACTGAGGGCCAAATTTTATAATTCAATTCTACTAAAATGTAGAGCACCCTAAAGTTTGCTTACCTGGGTTCTATTTCACCCTCTACTTCCATCCTCTCTCTACCCTTTTCATATACTTGCTATTTCCATTTTAGTAGCTAGCAAAAGTTTATTAATTACATTTCTTATAAACCATCTCAAATACCCTGTGAAATAAAACTTAAGCCGCAAGCTTGCTTTCTGTCTCACACACACAGGGGGTCGGTGGGGGGCAGATGACTTCAATGTGCAGGTTAAAATAAAGCAGTAAAATCAGTTACACAAGATACCTGCGGGAAAATTCAGAACATACCTCTATGATAAGCAAAAGCTAGATTAAGTAGTTTATCTCTTAGATCTTTTTCCTGTGTAACTCTTTTCCCATCTAAAGAAAAATTTTTAAATGCATATATAAAATAACTATCAACAAGAAAAGCAATTAATCCTTAGAAATAACGTAAGTAAGCATATGTCAAATGCTGACAAAGTACTGAACTTTGTGTGCTTACTAAGTCTTTAGAACTATCACTAAATACAATGATAGAACCAACTAAGAAAATAATCTCAGGAAGAAAAACATCTAGATTTCCTTCTCTAAAGTAGAAATGAGAAGACTATGAGTGGGTAGTTCGAAATAATGTGGCCCAAGAAAGCAGCTGCACCATTGGTAGGCCCCATTATGGAACATCAAGGTAATGATTACGTCTCATGATGAATTAATCAAGGCAGAGAAATGTAGAGGCCCTGCCCTAGAATGAACTGACCTGAATATTTCGAGACCAGACTGCCTTAAAGATAAACTTGGAAGAACTAGGAAGGGACCTGCATGAGAGAGAGGTGTATTTGATATAAACTTGGCAAAAAGTATATAAGAAATGCAGATGTTCCTCTTTTTCCTAGATTCTAGAAAAGCATTCAGCATACATGACTATTCACCACTTCAAACGAATATTGGTGAAACAAGAATAATGTACACGAGGATCATTTTAAAAGCATGAATAAATTTAGCTAATAATAAGTACATCAGTACTAAATATTTTAAACCATAACCAAGATGGCCAAATAGGAGCAGTCTGCTATTGTTCAAGCCAATACGAGAGAGGAAGGATGTTCACCTTACTTTTCTTTCTCTTGCTACTTGAAAGATGTATTTATCTCTAGTAGTCTGCTGGCTAGCATCGATTTACATTAGCAAGCACACATTAACTACCTGTTAAACTTACTTAATTCCTACTATCAGGCTTCTAATGCCAGCTGTTCTGTCTACTCTCTTTTTTCCCAACATCTAATCAGTTCCTACGTTCTACCTATTCTTCTTCTGCAAGATCTCTCTGATCAGTTTTCTTGCTACCCCCGTACGTTCTCCTCCAAAAAATCTTACTCTCTTTCTATGAGTACATCCGTCTCCTAACTGATATCCTCACCTTCAGTGCTTCTCCTGTTCCAATCTATCCCCCACATTGCCACTGGTCATTTTTCAAAGCACAAATGTGATGTTATGTAATGTTCTAAAAATAGTTTACATTTATAATTTTATAAAATTTTAGCCATAAACTTGCTTTAAAAGACCCATACAATCTGGACACATGCAATTCACAAACTAGTCCCACTCCTAGAACACAGACTCATATCCCAGGGATACCAAAGTGAGTACAGTTTTGCTTATAATGTCTCCAACCATTTCAATTGTTTCTTTCACCACTATGGGAATATTAGCACTCTAAAAAACCTCGATGAAATCCAACCTCCTTGACAAGGCCTTAGCAGATCTATCCCTAAACCATCATCGCCGTCACTGCACTCCTTTAATGGTCCTGGGTCATTTACAATAACAATTTCTCAGATTCCTGTCTTGCTCACCTAAATTAAATAAATGAGGGAAGAATATAATTCAGGAATGCATCTTCAGGCATTTCACATTATTGCACTATGTGTTGTCTGTACTCAATACACACTGTAAGAATTCCAAACAACAATAACAACAACCTAACAAAACAGAATGTCAATGAAATACCTCGTTAGCCACTTGCAGGAATATAATTTGTCTCTTTGTATCCCTCTAAGTATTCCTAAATATGAGCTCCTATTTATTTCTGTATCATCTTATCTGTGATCACAAAGATGCAAAGTGAGAACTTCAATACCTTTGAATGAAATGATCAGATTTAGGGAGGTCTTTAAAAAAAAAATCATTGTAGAAAGGCTGGGGCTATGGTTACAGCTATCTAAACCCCCAGCGTTTTTATATAAATGACAATAAGAATTTAATGGGAAAACAAAGGAACTATTATATATTAGACATATTCTATATGAAAGTCAACTTGCTAAGTGTATTAAACCCAGCACTGAATTTCTTTTACATAAAACTTTTGAAAATAATTTTTCTTCCCATTTATAAAGGTAACATGTAATATTACATATCTATTTGGGGGATGGAATACAGATTCATCTGCTTTCAATGCTCATGTTCTTTCTTTTATTACTACAGAGTATCATAAAAATTTATCAAAACTTGCAAGTTTTCTCAATCTACCCTGGTTAAAATTTTAATGATTATAGCTTTAAGCTCAAACTGCCTTCATCAATGAATTAAATTACTCCCCAAACTAACTTCCTTAAACAAAAGCATATTGATAACATATAAATACCAGAATTCTAGTACAATATTTATTATATGATATGCAAGTTTAAAACACTATAATCAATTCTTCCATAAGGAACCAAATATTCCCTCACCAAAAAAAAAAAAAAAAATCAAAAAACAAACCCCACAAACTACTATACAAACTGTAATGTTCATGGAACTAATTCATGAAGAATTCATGGTACTCAAGCTGTTCTTTATGACCCTTGCCCAGGAACAACCAATACCATCTCAAGTAACACCTCTTCCCTGATCCTGACAGAATCCAGGCAAGAGCTAAAATTGCAGCTGCCTGAGGGGTGATGCCCTTTGAAGTTATTATTCCCAGCAGACCTAATTGAGACAGTCCCTGCAAGGGCTCTCACAACCAGAGCTTCTTGCTTATCTCATGTCCCTGTTTCTAAGAATTTTTCCCCAGGAGCCAATGGAGCCCATTTTTCCTTTCTACAGGCCCATTTTCTACTTACTATTCACTGAAACCAAACTAGTTTTTGATTGAAACCTTGACACATTTTCCCACAGGAAAAATTTTCAAACAGTAATTAGGCTCTTCATTGTATGGCTTGCTATTGTGCATTGATCTAAAACTGTTACTGCCCATGGTTTTCTTGTGGGAAAACATGTTAAGATTCTGAAACAATCAATTTACACACTGCTGAAAGATAATTCTAAAGTTGTCAACTGCTCATATAAGCAAGAAAGGTAAAATACACTGAAAAACACTCTGAAATATATGAGTGGCTATAATTTAATAATTCTTATTTAATCTTACCAGTATTCAACACACAGAAATTATTTCTTTTGACATCAGAATTAACCCTACATTTTCTTTAAGGATTTCAGCACATTTTATATATCCCATTATATATAATAAATAACATAGCAACATATATAACACAATGAAAATACCTTTGTTCTAAAAACTATCACAGTTGAGGAATGTAAAGTTGAAACTTAAAAGCTCCAATTTCTAAAGTCAATATCAAAAGGTGTGATGAAAATAAATATCAATTCTATAAAGGAAAACTGGTTTTTTTCCTTATGAACAGAGCATCCGTACAAGAAACAAAAACAAAATGGGGTTGCCAACATGTAGTACTAAAATTTCACCCCGAATAGTTTTAATAAAGTTCTTTGCTGGGTTCAATCTAACCAATCCTAATGGTTTTAGATGAAGAAAGCAGCACACTGCCTTCACCTTTTGTATTACCTCATAGGTTTACCAATCTCTACTGGAGTAGTTCTCCAAATAGCAGAGGTAAAGAGACCTATTGTTAAATATCTCCAACACCTAAAACATACTGCAAATTTAAAAAATATGTGTGCTAATTACAATTTACAAGGTAGTACATTCAAAGTTAACCAAAAATAAAAATAAAATAGTAGACATTTGAAAGATCCCGACCTCCTATATAAATTAAATACTTGTGATTCATGAATGAAACAAAATCTCCCCACCCCCATAGTCTGGCTGGACATTTTCTACATGCAGTTAGAATTTCAACACTTTAAGAAAAATTAACATTTTTCATTCATCTCACTTTTAACCAATTCTTAAGAGATGTAGAATATTAAAACATGTTGGGATCAGTTAGTTTAAAAATATTTATCTGTATAAATGGTTCCACTCCACAGTACTTCTCAATTTATTTCCATAAAATCTCTTGTTGCAAGTTATTCTCACAATGTAATCTAACTCTAGTTTAAATTAAAATAATGTAAAGGGAAAAAGGACAAGCAACCAAAATAATCCAAAGTATGTCTTTCTAAAGCTGGAACAGTATTTGAAGACAAAGGCTCATCCTTGAGATTTCGAGGATTCTGAGTCTTACTTCAAAACATTCTGTTGTGAATCAAACTGGTATTCAACAACTATTTTAGGAGGTGTATGGTGGCCTCTACTGGAATACTATGCTTATGATTAAGCAACTAGGAAAGGATCCAACTTTCTGTCACAATAGGTAGGTTTTTGTGTTTAAACGTGGCTCGCTTTTTGTAAGAAAACAATAAAATACCTGTGCACATCTAAGTTCTCACGGCCCAAGTGCAAAACACAGCCAGTGCAGTTTCAGAAGAACGGCGGGAAAGGGGGTTGAACGGAAGGATTTGGGTTCAACCTGGCTAAGCTTTACCAAAATCGGTCTTACAAGGTCTTGGAATCACTCTGCCTCTGGTACCCACCAACGGGTCAGGTATGAAGCCTGGGAAAAGGTAAAAGGGTCGAAGTAGAACTGTAGGAGTAAGGGGAACTGAGAACAGCAGCAGATCACCTACACATATTGACTGCCAATTCCTCACTTAAGGTACAGAGAAAGAAGCAGTCTGCAAAGAAATAAGAATGCTGTTACCAAGGAACACTTGTCCTTGGAGGTTCAAGTCCCCAGAGTTAGCCACCTTGGTGTGTTTTTGTTTCCCTGAGTTCATAAAGCACTGGAGTTAAGCAGCAAGCTCGGGTCCCCAGCTCCAATTCTCAGAAAGCAGAGGCAGCATGGTGCGAGAGGAACGCAGAGTCAAGTAAGGCACGGCGCGTGTCCCCAGTCCCGCTCCGGGTTGGAAGTGAAGAAACTTAGAACAAACTCTAGCGTGGCCGCACCTCCGGAGCTCGGAGCTCGGGAGGCCAAGCCGCATCTGGGAGTTGGGAGCTCTGCATGCTGGAGCCCCGTCCCCTTTCCCGCCCTCGTGCTGCTAGAGGTCTGGGCCCCCGGGGAAGGGGGTAGGGGGCTTGCTTGGCACCCCCGCTCTCCCGCCCGGCCAGGATCTCCCGGGACACAGGGCTGCAGACTTCCAGCCGGTCCCGCCCACCACACTAACCTCGATGCCGCTCACACTGCCGCTCGCACTGTCGCTCGCACTGCCGCTGCGGAACACCTCCATTTCTTGGTCCCAGAGATCCTCCAGAGGAACGAATGGTAGCATCGCCACTTCAGGAGCACTCGAACAGGAGCTGCCGGTCTGCACCACCACGCATCCCGCCCGTGGACCTCGCTCGCTGCTGAGTCCGAGAGTCCGAATCCCGTACTCAGTGATCGCTGACCTCCTCAGCTGCGGGTACCTCAGAAGCTGGGAGAGTGGGGGATCCGCCGCCCGCTGTTGTGCCCAAAAAGAAGACAACTCTGTACTGCCTCCCCTCGAGCAGCCGCACGGCTCCCGCCGCCCGCCCAGCAAAGCTCCACGGGGCCGCCACCCCCGCCCCCCCCTCCCCCCGCACGCACCCCCCCCCCCCCCGCGCGCCGCCCGCGCCGCTCGCACCCCCCCCCCCTCGCTCCCGGGCCCCCTCCCCACTCCCTACGCCGCCAATATGGCGGCAGCCGCCGCGTTACCTGTGCGGCGTTCGGAACCCCCCGCGGCGGCGGCGGCGGCGGCGCGCGGCGGCGTCACCGGCACGTCAATGGAGGTTCCCCAGCCCGGAGTGGAGGGGGGTAGGGGAGGAGGGGCGGGGTGGTTGCGAGGAACGCGTGCTGGGGGCGGGAAGAAGGGGAGGGGGCGTGCTGGGCGGGGGAGGCGGGGCGAACAGTAGTAAAGCCCACAGCTCGCGCCTGCTAAACCTGCCCACTTCACAGAGCATGCGCGGTGTTCCCTACACATGCTCAGCAGGCCCTCCTAAGACTACCGAACCGCCTGGCTGGCGGGACGATTCCCACATAGGATGAGGGGAACCCAGGGGCTCTGCAGAAAGCGGCAGGAGTCCAGACTCTGCCCCAGGGCCAGCTTGCTGGGCCCAACAAAACTCAGGTGTTTAATATACAAAGCCACGCCCATTTTAGTACCTAGTAACCAATACTACTAGGGCGGGGATTTTAGACTATTATGTCAGCCACCTAGAAGCTAGAAGCAGCAGATAATGCATTAAAAAAAAAAGAAAGAAAGAAATCAGTATACCTGTGCTCCCCATCCTCCCAGTCCACCCAGTTTGTCTCACTTAAGATGTCCCTGAGAGTCGCTCTCCCAGTAGGAATGAACTCACAATGGTTCAGTCTCTTGTGTGCCCCAACACAAGAGTACACAATGCATACACACACACCACTAAGCAGATTCTACCCATGGTAACAAAGGCAAGGTATCTAATTCTAACCCCTCCCCACCTCCCTGAGAATATGTGTGTGTGTGTGTGTGTGTGTGTGTGTGTGTGTGTGTGTGTGTGTGTAGAGACAGAGAGAGAGACAATAATGTTTCAATCTTCATGCTGTGCTTTACTCCTTTGCTACTCTATGTGCTGTCCTTGGCTCTAGTAATGTAACAGATAAATTAAGTTCCATCTCATACAAGGAGTAGATGATCAAAACCGTCAGCAAAACATTTTAATATTTAAAGTTAAAAAAAAAAGTTATTCCACTTTTTTACACCTAGAGACTTGAAAGCATTTGCTATAGCAGCAAAACCAGCTCAGTACCTTGGAGAGGTTTCTAACATGTTGCTTATACACACACCACCTACTTGCCCCTTCTACATTTAGAGCTGTTGTGCTGTGCTACTAAAGAATACTGAACTGTGCCTTCCATTTATTTTACCATCTGCTGTGGAGTGCTAAGAAAGCAAAGAGGTTACAGAGGCTGGCAGTGAATTCAAATAAGAACTACTAATAATGCTCTTAAACTATGCTTAAAAGCCAAAGCTTTAGGAATATCGCTCTGCAAAAGTGATACCTTTGAAAATGAGAACTTCATAAGGCTACAGACCTTGAAAATATGTGTGTTTGTGTGTATGTGTGTGTGTCCATTTATGTTGGCAAAAATGACAGTGTTCTTAATGAAGTCCAATTCCGTTGAGCTCTGAGTCTCATTTTCCTATTGCTTACCAGCTCAGTTCTAGAATTCTCCTCTCTCTTTTCCACTTCACCTATTTTTCCCTTTCTACTGGATTATTCCCATCAGCAAAACATAGTTTCTAACTTCTACTTACTATCATTTGGTTCATTTTATACCTCCCTATTCTTTTAAATATTTTCTTCACTTGGCCTCAAAAAAAAAAACTGTGTACATTTTCCTCCTACATACTGATTTCTTGTCTGTTTTTTCTTCGTCTTTATAATCTCCAACCATTGAAATTTCAGTACTCAGTCCCTGACTCCTTAACTAAACTTTCTGAATGTAAGCTTAAGCTAGCTCTTGCATATCAATCCAGTGATCAAAGTTCTTGAAAGATTCTCCATCTTATCCAAACCTCTTAGCTCTGAATGTAAATGCTTTGTTATCAGACTTTGTTTTCCACCTTCATAGTGGAAAGTTCACTATTCATGGTCACATACTCTAGTAAAATCCACACATGTGTATTGCCTCTTTCCTTTCTCAGATATCCTTATGTAGTTTAGTATTTTTCTTTTCTCTTTTACATTTTATTTTCTTTATTTTTACTTTATTATCTCTTGAAAACAGTCTTAGAATCACTCTGAACCCTAGGCTAGCTTAAATTTAGTATAAAACAGGTTGTCCTCCCATTGACAATGATCCTCCTGCCTCACCTTCCTAAATCTGGGATAATGAGCCATACCTCCTGCAATTTAGTCTTAAAAACAACCAATGCTAACAACTCCCATCTGTTAAAAGTTACTATCCTACAGGTATATGGTTTTAACAAATTCACCTCGCATTCATAACAATTTTCAAAGATATATTTTGTAGCACTCGGGAGGCTGAGGGAGGGGGACTACTTCAGTTTAAGGCCAGCAGGTGCCAGAGCAGCAAGGGCTACATAACAAAACCTGGTCTTAAACAAACAAATAAAATTTCTATTTTCTGTATTTTTAACAAAGAATCAGGGCCTTGTAAAAGTTCAACAATTTTTCTGTATGACATCACAGGTATTATGTAGCATGAATTGTTAGAAGGTCTTATTAATAAAAACAAACCTGGAGCCAGGTATTGGGGCGAACACTGAAAGATCAGAGAGACAGAACAAGCCACAGCTAACCTCACCTCGCCAATTTCTCAGCCGATCCTGTTTCCTCAGACTGGAAGCCTCTGTGTCCTCATCCAAATGGATCTCAGCTCAACTGCTGCTAGAAGCCTAAAAGCTTAACCAGGCCCTAGTTCCTGGTCCTCACACCTCATATACCTTTCTGCTTTCTGCCATCACTTCCTGGGATTAAAGGCGTGAGTCACCATGCCTGGCTATTTCCAGTGTGGCTTTGAACTCACAGAGAATCAGATGGATCTCTGCCTCCAGAATGCTAGGATTAAATGTGTGTGTGCCACCACTTTCTGGCCTCTATGTTTATCTAGTGGCTGTTCTGTTCTCTGACCCCAGATAAATTTATTAGGGTGCACAATATATTGGGGAACACAATATCACCACAATATTAAAAATGGGAAACCTCAAATTAAAACAGTGTCTAACTGAAGCCTGATCTTGCTCACTCTGATGCTCTCTAAATCACCTCTGCTATTCAGTTCCTCTGTCCATAAAGTCCTTGCACTTGTCTCCTATAGAAAATCTAGTCACCTTTCTTCTGTATTTTCCATATCTTTAATTACTCCTTAATCTTTTTCTTTGTTTTCTTTTGTTTTTTGTTTTGTTTTGTTTTGTTTTTCTGAGACAGGGTTTCACTGTGTAGCTTTGCGCCTTTCCTGGATCTCACTCAGTAGACCAGGCTGGCCTCGAACTCACAGAGATCCGCCTGGCCCTGCCTCCTGAGTGCTGGGATTAAAGGCGTGCGCCGCCGCCACCCCCCCCCCCCCCCCCCCCCCCCCGGCACTCCTTAATCTTCCTCTTGAGTTTTTTGGCACAGTGAATTAATATATTAAGATTTACATTCATGACACATAAATGGTATCCAATAAATGCGATGGATGGATGGAAAGACTTCTGTACTCTAACTATACATTGTGTTAAAACTGTGGGCTGATATGAAACTGATCAAGACTTAACTCTTTAAAGTTTAATAGTTATTTGATCTGTGCTGACCATGGCAGAGATGTGTTGTGTGGTTTTAATTAATAGTAAACAGGGCTCATGAAACCTCAATTCTACTAGCACAAAAGGTACTTGAAATGTTAGTGAAATTATAAAGGCATTTTATTTAAGCATAAAAATGCAAGTGTTAGTGAAGACTTGAGCTGTTCAGTCTTCTGCAAAGTATATTTAAGAGGGGGTTATTTTCTTTTCAGTCTTCAGGAAGTTTTTATTCTGAAATTGTCTACTTGTCTGCATTCTGGGTTTTCAATTAGTATAGCATTGGAATTTTAAAAATGATTGACAATATTTTAGTGGTTATAGGCTTATAATACACTATATCTAGTTCTTAATTAAAAATTGTTATCTTGAAAGTTGACAATACAGGCTCTACCAGCATTTTAGTGTATTTTCAGAGCATTTTCAGAACTAGGGATAGGGTACACTTAAACTTCCACACTGACTCTTCTACTCTGACAAATGGCACACATTGGATGACCTAGGTCAGAGGTGAAAGGGGGTGGTCACGTAATTTAAGTGAAAAAAAAATGCTTGACTGACCCATCTTGGCCTCACTCCTAGGGGTGTGTGAAATATGAAGCGATGGTCTTTGATCACCAGCTCACAGACCACCCACAGATCACTGTGGTTCTAATTTCTAAACTTTGACATATACAAGGTAATATTTGGTGGCTGATTATGGAAAGAGCCACATTACCTTGCATTATTCTCTGACTATTTCTACAAAGATTTTAATGTAAATAATTAGAAAATAATGCATATATAGATACAGATCACTAAAATGATACTAGAAAATATTCAAATATTTTAGAAATATCCTGAACAAATATTTAGAAATATGTTTATTTAGAAATAAATACACAAGATTTGTATCTAGAAAAATAGAAATTTTAAGTGTTTAAGTGTGAATAAGTACTCAGTTATCTTTAAATCACACCTTAGCAGTTTCAGAGACCCTTTACTTTAAATATGCTAATATTGTGTCTCTAAAAATCAAATTGCAAAAAGGAAAGGGACTCACACTTACTAGTAAAATGCAAGCTCACTATTGTCTGCACTATAGAATGAATGATATTAAACAATAAGTAAGTTATAAATAAGATAATCATTTAATAACATTTCATCTTTAGACAGTTACTGAAGTATATATGATGTAGAAAGTGAAATTCATGTGCATT